CGCAGGAAGCACGGGGCTGTAAAAAAAAAAAAAAAAAAAAAAATCCCAGGCAGGGTTTCTCGGCCCGTTTTCCTGAAAGCAGAAGATGAATTTCTGCCTTCGGCCGCTGGAGGACAGTCTCTCCTTAGGAGAAGCGGAGCCGGGTGAGCCGCTGGCTGGCAGCCCGCCCAGCGGGCGCGGGGGGCAGCCCGGGGAGGCGGCGGCCTCGCCGCCACCATAACTCTCCCTCTGTCACCTTCACAGGTACAGCACATATGCAAATGGTGTCAGCTCATCTGCTGGCTGGCAGACGGTGAGTGAAGATTGCTATTCATCGCCCGGAGAAGGCACCGTCTGCTTTCCCTCGCTCTGACCTTTCTGCTGAAACAGATGCAGCGGCTCCGTGAAGCGGGATGTGGTTCCGCACACACCGAAGCGCTCCGGCAGTTCTGAGCAACCAACCCTTCCCAATACGGCTTTATTCTTCTTTCTTTTTTTTTTTTTTTTTTTTTTTTTTTTTTTTTTTTTTCTTTTTTTAACCCGTTCCTCAGTCGTTTTCCCACCTAAGCGTTTTTAAAGCGATTGCCAGGAATGCATTCTGCGCCGCTCCCGATAGCACTGCTAACCAGTGACAATGAAAGGGCATTTAATAAAACCAAAACCTGCAGCTCTGAATATTTTGTTCTTTTTTATAAGAATGATTAATTAGGACTCCTTATTTATGGAGTCTAAAGAGGCATTTAATTTGGATTTTTAACAGATGGTTAATAGATGTTTAAAACACACTTGCTGATTGTAAATGTCCACTTACTGAGAATCAGTAACCATGTAATAGGTATTTTATGTATTAACTACATAGATATTAAATTAAAATTTGATTTTAATAACATTTTAGTATTTTACTAGCAATCAGCAACCATCCTATAGGATCTAAGGTGCATACATGTATATCTAGAAATCTCAATTTAGAAGGTAATCCAAGAAGCTTAATTATCACTGTCACTGTATCTCCCTTCATATAATGTAAATATAATTTATGATTATTGAGCCTGAAATGTCGGCCACAAAAGAAGTTACCGAGCTATTGGTACAAAAGTACATCACTCATAAAAACAACAAACCGTCAGGCCTTTAAAAACTAATTACGCTGATGTACCATAGCTGACCTGTCACAGTCAATAAATATGAATTGCTTATTTACAGAGACAGAATGCAGACCTGGTACAGTGATACAAGGGCTGGACCTTCCAGAAGCAGAAAGTATTCTCTTAATTTCAACACACAACATACTCCTATCTGGCCACGTCCAGCATCTGATTTTCAGTAATTGGCTCACTGCAGAAAAGAAGCCTTTTGAGGAAATCTTGATCTACTAACCATAATGCTGCCAGCTGTTTGTCTTCTGGTGTGGCATTGGGGCCTGAGTGGGTTTTTAGTCTCACTGCATACCTTAAGGAAAAGGAAAAAAAACAATGTGAGTTAACTGAGACAGCTTTATAGCTGGCCGATGTCATTTGATCTGCCCCCTTACACATCTTTGCTCAAGATACCAGACGTACATGTGCTTCTTCTGGTTGTGTTTCAGAGCTATTTTGCCATTAGCAGTGCCTCCCTGCACTCTTGAAACAGCAGTAACTTCCCTGAACATCCATCAGTCCAGAGAGGAGCCTAGCTGGCAAGGTGATGCTGTCCTACCACAATAACCTCCGCTGCTGTGGAGACCCAGTTAAACCGAGTTCAGGCAGGATGGTTTTCACAGCGTTTGAAGGCAGACAGCCTGCCTTGAAGCTGGTGCTGCCCTCGCCCTGCCAGCTCTGAGTGTGTCTACCCAGATACGCTCCCCCAAGCAGAGCACAGCAGAGGGGGAACATGTGGCTTAGAGCTATTTTTACTCATATGACATTACGTTCAAATTCTATAAATATTAAACATCCACAGAGGTAGCACTGCTGTTTCAAGAGTGTATGTGCTATGCAATCACAAATTAGTTTCTGGAAATCTCAGCTTCCAGCTGAATACCTGAACAATGGACAAGGTTAGGACAACACACATCACTTCTGGGCTTGCTTCCAGAAAAATACCTGTTCCCTATCATTAGCTGCTTGTGTTTTTTTCTCATCTTTGCTTCCAAACTTTAATTCTGATATCCCTGCAAAGATTCAGTATGAACATTTTGTTTCAACAGGTATACCTAGCAAACCATTTATTTTTCTGAGCTGCAGCTCAGATCAACATCAATTCACACTACAACACAAGCACAGCTACACACATTGAAAGCTATGGATCTGCAAGCAAAATTAATTTCCAGAGTTAGGACATATATTTACTATCATGAGAAAAGACAGGGCAGAAAGAGGAAGAGTTTTCTGCCTTTTGAAAAAAAAAAAAAAAAGGAAGAATTGCACATATGGGATGTACTGTTCTCTTACTGAAAAAAAAACCCAACTTGATTTTAATAAGCTTCCAGTTAGAAAGCTGGCCTCAATCCACTGAAATGCATGAGAAGACAGCCCTAAGTGGAATAAAATGCCAATGGAATTGTTAACATGAGAGAAAATCTTCACATCAACACGAAGTCCAAAAGAATGCAAGAATGTTTTAGAAGCTTTGCTTCATTAGGAATATGATTAAAAATGGAAATGTTTTACTTCCTATGAACTTCCTAGTCCTGACGAGAGCTGTGTGTTTGACTGTCCTGAGGAATGATGCCATGGTCACTGACAGTGCAGCTTTCTCTGCTAGTGTGGCTGAGCTTGCTGTCTTGTGGAGAGAGTCACTCAGCTGCTGGGATGATTTTGACCTTTGTTTTCTCTACTGACACTGTCAATAAAGGTAAGTATTTGTACCAACTATAACAGAGAAAATGACTTAAGAGACAAACTTTCTTCATAGGAGGAAAGTCCCGTGGGTGGGACTGAATTCTTGACTGTCCTGTTTGGAGAACCATGAAGGTGACTGAATGTAGTGGTAGCTTTAGTGTGAGCTGCACTGCTTTTGGGACTCCACTGGCTACAGTAGGAGCATACACACCAAATGGACCTTGAATTTTTTTCTATTGCTATTCACATCTTATTTCAGGTAACCTTTAAACTGCAATCTTATACACATGATGACATTTTGTAAACTACCACTCCACAAGAATGTCTTGGTATTATGTATCATTATTTTTCTCTTTCGAGTAGCACAGGAATTGTATCGTGAAACTCTTTAAGTAATTTCCGACTCAAGTGATATGAAAAGCTTTGGGATTTTTTTTTTGTTTATGTTTTTTTTTTTTCATTCTACACAGTTTCCTCATTTACTTTCCATAGAAATCACAGATAATACATACACATTACGTAGGACTGACCAGGCACTTGGGAGGGCCTCACTTCTCCCCTTTGACTGTATCTGGGGAATTATGTGATAATGTAGATGAGCATGTTTGCACAACAGACCCCTGAGGTCATCTCCTCCCTTCCTACCTGATGAGTTCAACTGTTTCTGAATACATTGTATAAGGGGATTTAGATTCCATTGGGCCTTGTTCCATTGCATTTCCACACTCAATAAACGATAGTGCTGCTTCTGCATAATTCAGTGCCTTTCCAAACTTTTCCACCTAGAGGGAAAAAATAAGGACATAGAGAAATAGTGTAATCATCAAGATATGGTTACATTTGATGGGGTTTTCTCAACATGAATTGTAAACTTGACACAAGTTGGTATATCTTCAGGTTCACAATTTTTCCTATGAGAAAGCTAAAACCCATCAAACCCTGAAAATTGTAAGATACAGAAAGTAGAGCTGAAAAAGGCTATGAGATGTTATTTGATCCACAGTCTTGTGTCCAAAGAAGGATCAACTCTGCCTAGGACATTCCTGACAGATGTTTGTCAAAGCTTTTCCACTGCTGGAAATTGTACAAACTCCTTAGGCCTTTTGTCCCAACTTTCATTAAAAAGGGTTTCACACATCTTTACAAATAAAGTTTTTCATCACTCAACAAAGAAAGGGAATGATTATCTTGAACTAATATTTTGACTACTAACTCTTACTCAAAAGCTCATCTCTATTCTCATGTCTTCTTTATCCCTACCATTATTCCAGCACTGCTTGACCACATTGTCTTCTTGTCAGGAATTTACTTTCTGTATCTTCCTCCTCTTTCAGGGACTGCTGTGTTCTCTCAGCCTTTTCTGCCCTTCACCTTCCTTGCCCTATTTCTTCTCCTATTTTCAGTACTTCTTTGACTCTGTGTGCATATATTTGTGTACTTGTAGATATACATGCATATGTGTCCTCAATGATGGTATATATGCAAATGTGCACTTCATGTTCGTATGTGTACACTTACATACTGTTTATTTGCTCTCAGAATCTCATTTTTGATGTGGATAGAGATGAATCATACTAATACCTTTGTGTCCTGACTTATCTTTCCTTCAGTCAGAACTCCTGTGGTACATAAAGCCCATTAATGGACTGGATGCATTTGGCTGAAATCTGATGCACACAGTGAAAGGTTAATGGACCTTATTCTTTTCCAAGGGATAAAGATTTTAAATAGTAACTTTGGAATGGCACACTGGTTGCAATCTATTTTAGGTTCTTATATGACTCCCACTGCGATCATACCGGAGAACTTCACAAACTCTATTATATTTCTCTCCCCAAAACTCTTGTGCTGGTGGAAGTGCTATTATCCCAATTTCACAGATGGGGGACTAAGGAGCAGAGAGACTTAGAGTAATTTTCAGGCTGCTCACTCTAAGTGCCTCCGTTAGGTATTGCAGTGCCAAAGTAGGAGGTATCCGGCCCAGCAAGGTGATTCAAAGTGCCTGAAGGCACTTTGGCAATATGGCAATTCCTCCGGGATCCCTACACAGGCAAGGAGTGAGAGGAAGTACCTGCAAAGGGTGATTCAGAAGGTGTAAGGTGCTGGTCCACTGTGCAGGGAAGCTGAATGTGAAGGATAATTCAGTCATAATACTGATGGGAGGCTATTTAAACCATGCCTAAGTGACTTTTCATGCAGGTAACTTGTGGCAGAACAGAGAATAATGCTTGCACCTCCTGTTTCTGGGAGTCTACCATAAAAACATTTCTCTTCAGGCTAAGAATTTCCTTTGCATATTAAGTAATTTTTTCCATTCTGTTTAAAGCAACACACTAAAATGCACCATTTGTACTTCTCCACAATATTTCCTGATTTAAGACTCACTTTATAGTAATATGGAACTGAATAAACCATGGAAATTTGTGCTAATAAACTCGGGTAGAATGTAAAACTAGGTGTTACTGCCTTAAATTAAGGGCCTGCTTCTGCTTCTTTGGCCATGTCTATCTGACAGAGCAAGGCAGGACTGCAGCTACTCCTGCCTGCAAGACAGCCATATGAATGCAGGGTCTCACCCTATACATTGCATCTGCCATCCCAGAGGCCTAATGTTTTTAAGGCTGTGCTAGGTTATGCATAGTGCTGGACAATTGTAGCCCTGGAGAAAACTGAGAGACAGCTGAGTGGATCTCTCCTGGAGCACTGGATTCTTGGTTGCACTCATTTGTTTGGAAAGACAAGTACCCCTTCGCTCCATACAACCTCAGATTCCCCCTTTTCTTACTGGCTACGTTTTGAGACAGGTCAAAGCCAGGGCCAAGAATCTGTTTGTTGCAACAGTTCTTTGTGTGCAAGGTGTTTCTCTAGGGTGACACATATTCTTGTGTACTTCTCATTATGTTAGGAAATGGCTGCCATGAAACCAGGATTCTTTTGGCACCCAAGAGCCAAAGCTCTTTAAAAAATGTACAAATACATCAGCCACCAGACCAAATTTGGGGATATAGTTATAGGGCCTAGCCAGCTAGTTAAACTGAGAAGCTAGGTATGTGGATCCCTTACACAACCTCCATTACTATAGTTACTAATTAAAGCAAAGGCATAAATGGAAAGTTTTATTTATCCAGGCCTTTATCTCAGTAAGTCATTATTTGTTAAGTCATAGTTTATTGGGCTATGAACATTTGATTATATAAACATTTCTTAATTTAACAAGCCTAGCCATCCTTATAATAGATTTTATAATTACCCCAGCAATACTACACTGATGAAGAAACTGCATTACAAAAATAATTTGGAGCAACATAACTGGAAAGAAAATGTTCTCACCATTGCATCTGCTTTATGCTTCTTCCGTTTAGCTTCCTGCATAAAGTAATCTGCATTGCGTGGCCTACCAGGGGAAAATAAGAAGACATTTTATTATTTTCTGAAGTACAGAATATTTTCAAGTTATTTTTCCCTTTATTTTAAACCTGATTTGCAAACATTTTTTTACAAAGAAAATACACTTATCATGTAACCATGCATCTTCTATTTTCAAATTGCTGCCTGTGGAGACAATAGCATTTATGGCTGTTCTCATTCTTTAGAAGTCAGTGATTCAAAGCAAAAAAAAAGCTAATAAAATGTGGTTTTATGGATTATATAAACTGCTTCCCAAATTAGTGCAGTTTTGAACTGCAAAGCGGATGCAAGCGTTAAGCGGAACAAGTTATTCCATCTTCTCCTCTCCCTGGTGCTTGCTTACCTCTTTCTCTACTCTTCTCTGTACATTGTAATTTGCCTTGGCTTCTCCCTCCTCTCAAAACAAGGGTGTGTTTAATCTCTCCACTTTGAAAACACACATCGAACCTGCTTGCCTCCACAACTACCATTGAACACCCCTTCTCTCTCTTATCTGTAAGCATGTTGAGAGTGCTGTTTACTTTTGCTGCCTGGAGTTCATCTCTGACTCAGTGCTGGGCCGCCCGCTGCAATTCCACTGGTGTTGCTTGTGCCAATTTTTCCATTGATTTCTCCTCAAACAGATTGCAGAGACTCCATCCCTTTCTTCACCTACCTGACCTACTGGCTGCAGGGCACAAATTCAACTGTTGTCTCTGTGCTGAAATTCACAAGTCCGTTTCTGATCCAGACATCCACTTCCATTCAAACTAAAATCACAAACTGATATCTTCTTGGCAATGTCTGGTCACCATGTCAGTGAGCTCCTCATGGCTGAAGCAAATTTCTTCATCTCTTCCCATAAGCTCTCCCTACTGCACTTTTCTCAGTTACTGTGGAGAATAGCCATTTGCCATGTCATTTCAGCCATAACTTTGCATCTTCAGTTGTTGCCTCTCATAAAAATCTGCACATTTCCTGACCCTGAATATTCTTCTGATCTCATATAGGGAGGAGATGGCTGTCTTCTTTCTCTGGTCAGCTAAAACATGTCCTGGTTCTTCTCAGGTTATACAGTGGTTACTGCCATACTGGCATACTTGTCTCTCCCAGAGAAGGAAGTTTTGCCTTGCAAAATAGTTTTCTTAGCATTGGTTAAAGTGTTGTTCCTTTGCCCTTATCTAATGAAAAAGAGATGTGTCTGAGTAGTCAGAGGATGAATTCTGATGTTTTTACAATTCATGCTTTTAAGTGTTTGGTGTTGTAAATGATACATTACTATTGCCGCTCAGCAATCTGTTGTAGGTTAACCCTGGTAGGCAGTTCAGCCCTACGCAGCTTCTCACTCACTTTCCTCCAGTGGGATAGAGGAGAGAATCACGAGAGTAAAAGTGAGAAGACTCACGTGTTGAGATAAAGACAGACTAATAGGTAAAGCAAAGCAGGATAAGGAATTCATTCACTGCTTCCCATTGGCAGGCAGGGTGTTCAGCCACCTCCAGGAAAGCAGGGCTTCATCTTGCTTAACAGTGACTTGGGCAGACAAACGCCATCACTCCGAATGTCTCCACTTTCTCCCTGTTCCCTCAGCTTTTATTGCTGAGCATGACATCATATGGAGTCGGATATCCCTTTGGTCAGTTGGGGTCAGCTGTCCCAGCTATCTCCCCTCCCAACTTCATGTGCACCCCCAGCCTCCTCGCTGGCAGAGCAGCGTGAGAAACAGAAAAGAAGGCTGTGTGAGCACTGCCCAGCAATAGCAAACCCAACTCTGTTATCAACACTGTTTTGGTCACAGATCCAAAACACAGCACTGTAAGAGCTACTATGAACAAAATTAACTCTATCCCAGCCCAAACCATTACACATTCCTAAGCAGTTGTTTTTTGAAACTGGGATTTCTTAGCACATTTGTTTAAAAAAATGTTTTGTGTCAGTCAGAAAAGATACAGATCTAAAAACTGAAGTCAGTGGGGTGGATGAGTAAAAAATTCTTGCTGACAGCAGTAAGAGCATGCTCCGATCCGTAACTGAGATCAGTGGGAGCAAGGGGGAGCCTCGTGACAGAAGAGGACAACCATATATACTTCCTTGAGACCATAAGGCAGTGCATTTAGTCTGTTTCCTTCTACTTATGTGCACACATTTTCAAGGACATTTAATTGCATCACAGAAGGTTAGTCAACCTTATTTTGAACAGAATGAAGGCTAAATATCACTAGATGGAAATAAAATTCAAAGTCTGGCTAATTTTGAATGATCTCTGCCCTAAAAATCTTGTTGATAGAAAGAAGAACAGTTCCTTTGCTCCAACTTTCTTTAAAATACTATTATCCCTCAGAGTGGAATTTTTCCCCAGCTTACTCTACCCAGTAGGTCAAAAAGGGGACTAAAGACAGGTTTGTGTCCCAGTACCTGATAAGCTACTGCAGCTGCAAACACTTCCTGTGCCCAGCACGATGCTGACATGATCTTAATAATATGAACCATCTGGATTTGGTCTTGGTCAGTCATGAAATATTAGATATTGAAACAGTGTTAGCTTGATACAGAAAATGAGCTATGTTTTCAGAATTATTGAAAGAATTCTTAACATAAACGTTAAAGTCCCGCCTCTCTTAGTCTTGTGCAGTGACCGAGGTAAGATGGTTTGCTATGAAGTGCCAAAAAGCAAAGCAAAGCAGGGCAAATCAACAAAAGAGAGGTCTCATCTCTCTGAAATTATCAAAGTGATGAACCTTTACATGATCCTTTCAAAGTCAGGTCATTAAAATATGTCCTTTGCAACACTGCCTCCCATATATCACCCAGCATTATATGTCTAATTTGATTGTTTGAAGCATGGTAAGAGTCTGTAAAAACAATATGAGATAGCACAATGTAATTATGGTTTACTTAACTATAAATTAATTGTAAAATGATTCTCAACTTGTAGCAGGATTTGTTCTCCCAAGTTATGATTAGCAATGAGGCATGCACATTACCGAACCAAGAAGCCTGCTTTGAGGGTCCTGCTATGGGGTGGTTAACCATAATGCAAAGTGCAAAACTGCAAGTCATCAGTTTGTACAACATCCAATTGTTTTTTGGGAAGTCTAATATAAAAAAGAAACTATTAAAACGCCATTTTAAAGCAAAGCATATATATTTTCAACATGAATGTTTAGGTATTTCCACAGGAAAAACAGAAGATTGATTTACAAATCAGAGGATGCCTAACAGAAGTTAAGATTCATTGGGAAAAAAATGGATAGGGTATGTTTCCTTCCAGTTTCTTAAACAAGAGATTGTTCTATAGTGTTAATAAACACGCCAAGTCAAATTCTGATCTCTTTATGCCATCGATGAAATACTATTCTTCAGTTTATCACTACATGTTAATAAACTTCCTATTCAGATTACTAATGTGCATGTTGGGTGAAAATGGAAAGCTGAAATGTCCTATAGATTTAATGTATGTTTATGTTCATTGCATACATTTCTTATATAATTTTAGTAACAAAATAAGGATGTGCTGGATTTAATTATTTTATGATTTTTTTAATGAGAAAGAAAGGTTTCATATTCAGTTTTGTGTAGGTTCCCACTGCACATGAACATAAATACTAGTTTAATTTATTATGTCATGAAATAGAAAAACAGAAAAAAATTCCTCTTCTATAGGCTCCTTGAAGTTAACAGGTTACCTCAGCTCATGGACATATGAAGACACATGAGAAAGTTGATGCATAAATTAATTACTCAGGATAGCTCTTTTGCATACTTCACATTTCGTATCAATGAAGTTCACAAAAGATTGTTAATCATATTCTGATTTTACAGACCCTTAAGTTATAGTGACTGAGAACCCATATCTGTTACAAACGTCAAGGTTCATCCAAATTTCCTCTGCATCTTGGCCTATTTAGTTATATTGGTAATAATCTCAGACTGGAGAATTTTCAGGTAATCTCACTGGATGCCAATTTCACATACTATGTTATTGATGAGAGGCATCTTGAGAAGAAGCAAATCTGTTTCTGAAAAGATTCAGAAAGATCTGTGACTAAACCCCTTTTCAGATCTTTGGTCTAAGGTTTGCAATCCCTCTACATATCACAGCCTTGCTACAGCCTGAGAAGCCACAGAATAGAGAAAATTTCTACAGGATTAAAATGGTACCAGACTACTGGTTGAACTGGAGTGGATGTGAGTAGCAGAAGAAGCACTGGAGTCTCTTTGTTAGGATTACTGTTCATGAATATAAACTGAAATCCCATGGAAAGTTATTCAGTGACTTCTGGTTTTCAGACAATTGAGTCAGATTCCCCTCTTATTTACAACTGTATGTATCTATTGGTGGCAGCACTGTCACTCCAGACTTACAAACAGAATTCAGGCCTCTTTAAAAAAAAAATAAAATTAAGAAGTCTGACTTCAAATTAACAGGTACAAACAAGTGTTTTATCTCTAGTAATAATCTTGACTGCACAAGAAAGTCTTTTGTTTCTGAATATCTGATTGTTGGTACTTTTAGAAATATAGTCTTTTTCAACAAAGCCAAAAAGGAGTTCTAATACACTGCTCTAATGCATCTCATATATCTCTCTGAAAGGCAAGAGAAAGAGCGTAAAGCATCAGTGCCAACTAAGTCAGGCCGCCGGTGAATTCTCCCTGGGATCAAGTGTCATTATGTGAAACTGGCTGCTCTTGAGGAGAATTTACCCTACTATGCTGATTGGGGAAAGCAATCAAGTACCGCTGGAACCATTTCAACGCATTCTCAGTCAACACTAGCCAGTCACCTAGGCACTGCAACAGAATCCAGCCTTTTACAGAATAACCCCCCCATGGCTAGATCTGATAGTACAAACAAGGCCAGGCTTCCTTTTCAGCAGCTGCATTCAAACCATTTATGACTTTGACAAGGGCAGCCTCAGTAGCATGGCTGTGGCTGAATCCAGGATGAAATTTATCAAACAATCTGCTACTGTCCAGAATTTCTCTCACTCGCCTCGCCACCACTTT